TCGATCCCGGGTCTCCAGGATCGTGCCCTGGGCCAAAGGCAGGCGCTAAGCCGCTGCACCACCACCTGATAAAGATTTTAATGGCAATAACTCTATCCTCTCTATTTTGAAGTGGAAATAATTCCATCTTGATCTAAAATGGTAAAACTTGAGATGGACTTCATACAAATGTTTTTAGATTTCTCTGTGTGACAATGAGTGCCTAAAATTTAAGGTGTGTTTTTAAGGAAATATAGAAGTTATTTCTAATTTTATTTTATTCAGACTATCTTAATTAGTAATGTTCTCTTCAATATGTGACAGCACAATTGGGAACATAGAATAGCAGGGTTTTATTTGCCATAACAGTCTTTGGAGTACCTTTGAGTGGTCATGAATGTTTTCATCATATTTCCTTTGTTACTTTAAAAATGTTGATAATATTTCTTAAATATACCGATTATAACCCAAATGTTATCTTCAAATATACTTGCTTTTCTACCAGAAAAAAATGTAAATTTTACTCATGAGTCATGTCCTCTGTTTGATACATATCCTCTCAGTAGTTCCTGAACTTTGGATATGGCTAGTCACATTATCTGAACAAACTATTTCCAAAAGTCAGAACTATTTTATAAACCTCCTTTATCAGAAAATACCTGAATTAATGTTTCAGTGCATTTATGAGATTTATTGGAATATCTTCTAATGCTGAAGTTCTTATAATAGGCAGAATAAACTGTTAGAGGCTTGTAATTTTTTGTAGGTGTGTAAAGATTTTTTTAGTAAACTCAACACCCAACGTGGAGCTTGAATTTACAGCCCCGAGAGCAAGAGTCTCATACTCCTATCAACTGAGCCAGCCAGGTGCCTCAGCTTTTATTTTTTATTTTTATTTTTTATTTTTTGCCTCAGCTTTTAGTGTTGTTTTTTTGTTGTTTTTTTTAAAGATTTTATTTATTTGTTCATTCATGAGAGACAGAGAGAGAGAGAGACAGGCAGAGGGAGAAGCAGGCTCCATGCAGGGAGCCTGACTGGGACTCTATCCTGGGTCCACAGGATCAGGCTCTGAGCTGAAGGCAGCGCTAAACCACTGAGCCACCCAGGGCTGCCCAATAAATAAAATCTTTTTAAATTATTTTTTTTAATTTTTTATTTATTTATGATAGTCACAGAGAGAGAGGCAGAGACACAGGAAGAGGGAGAAGCAGGCTCCATGCACCAGGAGCCCGACGTGGGATTCGATCCTGGAGCCCGACGTGGGATTCGATCCCGGGTCTCCAGGATCGCGCCCTGGGCCAAAGGCAGGCGCCAAACCACTGCGCCACCCAGGGATCCCAATAAAATCTTTTTAAAAAAAAAAATCCATCCAGTTATTAAATGGACTTCTTGAGCTACTAATTTGACCAAAACTGTATGGTAAGAAAACTGATTTGTTATCTCAATGACAAAAATAGCTTCCACCACTCTCATTTTACATATGCAATTGTACTTGAAGTGTGTAGTTAAATGTATGCCTAAGCTATGCCACTTAAATAAAATTATTTAAATATTTGTTACAGGTTTTGAATGAGAAGAAACTTCAAGAGGTTGATAGTTTGTGGAAAGAATTTGAAACTCCAGAGAAAGCAAATAAAATGTAAGCCACCTTGAAACAAAAAGTTTAGCAGTTACTGTTTAGTTGGTGTTTGGTTTTGGTCGTGGTTTTAAGATTTTATTTATTTTAGAGAGTAAATGGAGGGAGTTGCAGAGGGAGAAGGACAAGCAGACTATGGTGAACAGTCTGACATGAGGCCTGATCCCAGGGCTCTTGAGATCATGACGTGAGCCGAAGTCAGGGGTCAGATGCTTAACGTAGTGGGCCATCCAGGTGCCCCTGTTGTTTTAAGTAATCACTATACCCAATGTAGGGCTTGAACTCGTGACCCCTAAGATCAAGAGTCACATGTTCTACTCACTAAGCCAGCCAGGGGCCCCAAGTAGTAGAATTGTTGAATAAATTGTAGTATATCTATAGATCTCTTACTGTGACTTGGGGACAGGTCAGTGGCATACCGAGAAAACCATGCTTCAGAATGATATGTATAATGTGCTCCCATTTTTGCAGCGTTCTTATATATATGTGCATTTATGGAAGCCTAGGGAGAGATGAGCAAATGCCACTTCAGAAGGGTGGGGTTGGGGGTTGAGGCAGAGTAAGATGAAATTACTGCTTTTCCTACCATCTTTGCCTTGTTAAGAATGGATTTAAGGGATCCACCAGGGTTTTATTCACTGGCAAGTAAGAAAACTGGCCTTAAAACAATACTACTTTAGACAAAATAGAAGACTGGTTTTTCTTTATCAAGGGCTGTATGCTTCAGTTGGCTGAGTTACCCTGATTCATTGTTGTCAATGATGTATTCTTGTTGGAACTGAATATAAATGATCTAACTCAAATATTCGTCACTACCACTGAGACAACAATGAGTTATGAATTAATCGTATATATTTGTTTCAATATAAAATGTTGCTTTGCACATACTTTTAATGGGGAGAAGGAGGTATAAAATAAGGGTAACAAATCAGATTTGATGATAAGGTTTTTTTTTTTAAGATTTTATTTATTCATGAGAGATCCACAGAGAGAGGCAGAGACACAGGCAGAGGGAGAAGCAGGCTCCTCACAGGGAGCCCGATGTGGGACTTGATCCCAGACCCCCGGGATCACACCCTTAGCCGAAGACAGATGCTCAACCACTGAGCCACCAGGCATCCTGATTTTAAGCAATTTCTTAATAGCATTTGTACTAGATGGACAAATCCTTGTTGTGAGATTCCTGACTCAAGAGGGACTCTTAATACCTTTTCTAAGGTCTCTATTCTGTATAGTAAAAGGATCTGTGTCCAGCTTTAAACAGCAAGAGGTTATGTTGAAGCCATAACATTTAGAGAAACTGGTTGTTTTAAGAATAATTTATCTAACTTGGCACCCTGATACCCAGTGATGGGAAGCTTTATTTTATTGGTGTGTGCTTTGGAAACAATCCAAACCTGTTTCCTAAATAATACGGCTTTTGCACAATCAATATGCCCTCATAACTTTTCTTTTTTTCCTTCTAGAGTAAAGCTAAAACATTTTGAGAAATTTCAGGATACAGCAGAAGCATTAGCAGGTAAAGTGAAAGACTAGCTGTTTTGGTTTTGTGTTTAATCTTTTCAATTTATTATTCATATCAAGAGATTATTTGCTTCAGTTGCCTGAGTTAACCTTATTCAATGTTGTCAATGATGCATTCTTTTGGAATTGAATTTAAGTGATCTAACTCAAATTCGTCACTACCACTGAGACAACATTGAGTTAGCTTTTTTTACCATAGGGCTTGTTTCCCCCCCCATGTGATGAGAGGTGAGAAGTGGTTAAATTGATCTCCCTGTGGAAACCAACAGCATAATGCTGAAGCACAATTCAGTAAAAGCTGTTCTACAAGGGACCAAGGTAATGTAGTCAAGTACACAGCTCTCTGATAATTTTAATCCAAGGGTAAAATTGAGAATAGCCAGGATTCACAACTGAAATAATAATAAAGCAGCTTTGGGTGGGTATACGTTTTTAGTTCAAAAGACCACAATATTAAAAGTTTTAGGAAACTAATAGATTTTTGTATGTGTGGGGTTTTTTGTTTGATTTTTTTGTTTTTAATGCAGAAACTACAGAGGCTTGAGTTAAATATGAAGGGGGCATGAAGAATGGATGACCCCTATCCTTCAGCTAGTCCTCATGATGGGAGAACAGACAAAGCAATAGGGCTTATTAACTAGGCTTGGCTTTAGTAGGCAGTTGGTCTCAAGATTTTTTTTTTTTTTTTAAGATTTTATTTACTCATTCATGACAGAGACGGCGGGGGTGGGAGGGCATAGGGAGGAGCAGGTCCATGCAGGGAGCCCGATGTGGGACTTGATCCTGATGTGGGACTTGATCCTGATGTGGGACTTGATCCTGATGTGGGACTTGATCCCAGGTCTCCAGGATCACACCCTGGACTGAAGGTGGCGCTAAACCGCTGGGCCACCAGGGCTGCCCTCAAGATATTTTTTTGATGTTAGGGAAAACAGGAATACTGTATAAATTCAGCTCATAGATTTTTCAATCACTTAAGTTACATATATCAAATCAGCTAACTGCTTGGTGGTAGAATTTGAAAATGTAGGACCATAAGGAAGAATATGGCATATAATTAGGCAAGAATTTCACAGACACAAATAATTTTGTTCATCGGCCCCAAGAGAGGGGTATAATTCTCTTACTAAATTATGAATCTATCTAAACATGCTAGAATATATATATATGTGTGTGTATATATATTTTAAGATTTTATTCATTTATTCATGAGAGACACAGGCAGAGATAGGCAGAGGGAGAAGCAGACTCTTTGCAGGCAACCCGATTGGGACTTGATCCTAGGACTCTGGGATCATGCCCTGAGCAGAAGGCAGATGCTCACCTGAGCCACCCAGGTGTCCCAATATGCTCGAATATTAATGAGCTACCCTAACACTGGCAGAAGGGTAGCTGGAGGAATACCTAAAAATGGGGTCAATTTTTAAATTTTATTTCATTTATTTATTTGAGACAGGGAGCATATGAGTGAGGGGAGGGGCAGAGGGAGAGAGAAAAGCAGACTCCACCGAGGAGGGAGCCCAATGCAGGGCTCATCCGAGGATCCTCAGGATCATGACCCAAGTTAAAGGCAGATGCTTAATCGACTGAGCTACTCGGGTGCTCCAAATTCTTTAATTTTTAAAAATAGTTCTAGGACTGTTTCATCAGTAAGTCAGTAATTTAAAGCCTCATAGGGCCACTAAAGCACAAATATAATTTTTGCCTGGATGTTTTTTTTTTTAATATTTTTATTTATTTATTCATGAGAGACACAGAGGCAGAGACACAGGCAGAGGGAGTAGCAGGCTCCACGCAGGGAGTCCGACGGGATCCCAGGTCTCCAGGATCACACCCTGCACTGGAGGCAGGCAGTCAACCGCTGAGCCACCCAGGGACCCCCCTGTTTTTGTTTAAGTACTCTTACATCCAACTTGGGGCTTGAACTCCCGGCTCCAAGATAAAGAGTCACATGCTGGGATCCCTGGGATGGCTCAGCAGCAGTTGAGGGCCTGCCTTCGGCCCAGGGCATAATCCTGGAGTCCCGGGATTGAGTCCCACGTTGGGCTCCCCGCATGGAGCCTACTTCTCTCTCTACCTGTGTCTCTGCCTCTCTCTCTCTCACTGTCTGTCATGAATGAATAAATAAAATCTTTAAAAAAAAAAAAGTCAATAGGCTGTGATTTGAACTCCTCCTGCTGGAGTTGTAATGTGCAGGAGCCCTCATCCCAAGTGGCTTCTTTGAATTCCTTTTTGCATATTTATTACCTCTTTAATCTTTGAGATATTTTTGACCAGTCTTTATTATTAAATGGATAGATCTAACTTTTACCTAAAATAAAGCCGGTTTTTACTGTTAATAGCTAATATGTTTATCGTTTAGTGGTTGTCAGATTTGTGCTCATCATTTCAAAATTGTTTTTAAATGCTTGAAACAATCCTTTGGAGTAGATGTTTTAATCACTATTGATAAAAAAAAAAACTGAGGGTTGAGGGGTATATCTCCTTTTCCTCCTGAGCTCTTCGTATTCCTTAAAATAAGGTTAGGTAAATGGGCAAAATGCCATACTAGGTGAGAAATTCATTTATTTTATATTTATTTATTTGTTTGTTTTTTTATTTATTTATTCATGAGAGACACAGAGAGAGGCAGAGACTCAGACAGAGGGAGAAGCAGGCTCCATGCAGGGGGCCCGACATGGGACTCGATCCCAGGTTTCTAGGACCAGGCTCTGGGCTGAAGGCGGTGCTAAACCACTGAACCACACAGGCATCCCAAGTTAAATTTTTTAAAAAAGAATTTAAAGACACTTGGGTGGCATAGTTAGTTGGTTAAGTACCCATCTCTTGGTTTTGGCTTAGGTCAGGAGATTGAGCCTGGCGTCAGCACAGAATTTGCTTAAGACTCTTCCTCATTAAAAAAAAAAAAAAAAGACTCTCTTCCTCTCCCTCTCCTGCCCCCACCCCCGACAGGCACATGTTCTCCCTCTTTCTCCAAAATAAATAAATATTTTTTAGAAAAGAATTTATATTGGTCCTAGAAGTTCATATATACCATTTCTATGGAAAGCTTTATTTTTACATTCTAATTTTCAAATTGCAAATCTTCCAAACACTACAGGACAGTTTGGTAGCAGCCTACATTTGAATGAAGTGGGAAGATTATTAGGGGATGCTGAAAAGTGGCTGGTGAAGTAGAGAAAAGATTCAGTTTCCCCCCTTAACCTTGTCACCATTTCTGTCATCTTTTAAAAATTCCTATTATAAAGAGTAATGAACAGGTTTTTAATAATAAAGGGAAGGTAAATGTTAAATCTAAAATAAGTAGAAGTTTTTGCTTACAAGAAATCTTCGTGTTTTGTTTTGTTTTGCTTTGTTTATTCACGAGAGACAGAGAAAGAGACCTAGGCAGAGGGAAACGCAGGCTCCCTACTGGGAACCTGATGTGGGACTCCATCCCGGGACCCCAGGATCACACCCTGAGCCAAAGGCAGACGCTCAACCACTGAGCCACCCAGGTTCCCCTTTGTTTTTTTGTTTTGTTTTGTTTGTTTGTTTTCTTGTTTTTAAGATTTTTACTCATTTGAGAGAGAATGAGAGAACGCATAGGAGCCTAAGTGTGGGGAAGGACAGAGGGAGAGGGAGTCTTGATCCTGGGACCCTGAGATCATGACCTGAGCAGAAAGCAGATACTCAGTGGAGCCACCCAGGCACCCCACAAGAATTTTTTTTTTTTTTAAGATTTTATTTATTTATTCATGAGAGACATAGAGAGGCAGAGACATAGGCAGAGGGAGAAGTAGGCTCCATGCTAGGAGCCCGATGTGGGACTCAGTCCCAGTACTACAGGATCAAGCCTTGAGCCCAAGACAGAGAGAGGTTCAACCGCTGAGCTACCCAGGTATCCCAAATTTTTTTTAAAAAAGGAAAACACTAGGTTAAAATAGATGATATGGAAGACTAAGAACTAGAAGCTAGAAGTTGAATAAAATTTTTTAATCACCAAAGATTAAAAACTAGAAAGAGTATATTAAACTCTACTTGAAAGATTGTGTGGAGTCAGTGTTATACGGTGTGTAAAAGGTTATATAACCTAACTAAATAGCTTGAGTCTCAGCTTCTTAGAGTGTGGTGTAAGAGCTGTATGGTAGCCATATGATTTTTGTCATTACCTTTCATCTTCCCAGATAACAGATGAAATGGATTTGTAACTCAAATGGATTGAGATGTGGTCAGGAGGAAAGAGAAGGTACCTGGCTGATTAAGCATAAATTGTCTCGCCTTAGAAATTGAGGCCAACTTCCTTCCTCACAGGCGTACTTTTTTTTTTTTTTTTTTTTAAGATTTTATTTATCAGAGGTTGAGAGAGGCAAAGACATGGACACAGGGAGAAGCAGGCTCCCTGTGGGCAACCTGATGCAGGATTCGATCCCAGGACTCCGGTATCATGACCTGAACCAAAGGCAGACACTCAAATCACTGTGCCACCAAGGCATCCCTGGCAGGCATACTTTAAATTTAGCCAAAACCCTGACAGATATCGGATGAGGTATTAGTCCATGTGGGTCCAGAAGATCCTAAGGCTAGGCCTAGGAAGGGTGAGAGTTATAAAGCATGAGATTTAGAATCTGCCAAAATGAAAAGCAATCTCAAATTGAATAGGCTGCCTCTTTGGGAGTGTTCTCCATCACTGAAGGTTTACAAGCAGAGGCCTGATAACATACCTTGATTTTGAATTAGCCAAGGCCTCCACGACCCTCCCAAGTGAATACACTGCTTTTTTCCAGTGTTGACAGGATTTTAGGTTATTTCACAGAACATCAGGCCAGTCGGTCTACAGTGACACTGGAGACTGGATCTGTTTGTCACTCTAAAATAGATTGTTTCTAACATTTTATGGTTCTAGTTCTCTATGGGTTCAAGAGTAAATTTTATTTTATAAAACGAAAGGAATGCTGTATCAGCTTTAACACCTAGTTCTAGAGCTGAAGTGAGGGTGGGAAGATCAGATGAGATTGTGAAATGTGTAACTCTTTCAGTGTTTTTTACATTTATCATTTCATTTTAGAAGTAATGTTAAATTCAGACTTCTTGGAAGGAAGTGTTTATTTTGCTTTATTTTTTAAGCTTAAATGACATATGAAGTTCTTAAAATTAAAAACCTGCGAGTTAACTCTTTTGTTTTTCCTTTTCTAAAAAGCATTTACAGCTCTGATGGAAGGCAAAATCAATAAACAGCTGAAGAAAGTTCTGAAGAAAATAGTAAAAGAAGCCCATGAGCCCCTGGCTGTAGCTGATGCTAAACTAGGAGGGGTCATAAAGGTAAATATTTTTCATGCCTGCCAATCAGAACTCACCATATAGCATTGGTGACTACAAAGCCTAGCCTTTGTATGGAGTTGTTTGTTGTAAGTTCTCATACTTGATGTTTTTTCCCTAGGCTACAGAATAATTGATTTCCAATATGATTATCAGGGCTAAGAACATACAAGTAATACCTATTCATTGTAGAAAATATTAATGTCCCCAAAAGTAGTAAAAATTCGTTTTAACCTTGCCACCAGAGTTATGTTAACAGTATGTATATCCTGCTATGTTTTTGTTTAGTCACATTTCTTTTTCTAGCAACAGAATTAAAGACCTGATTTTTTTTTTCTTAATTTATTCATGAGAGACAGAAAGAGAGAGGCAGAGACACAGGCAGAGGGAGAAGCAGGCTCCATGCAGGGAGCCCGATGTGGGACTCAATCAATCCCAGGTCTTCAGGATCATGCCCTGGGCTAAAGGCAGACACTCAACCGCTGAGCCACTCAGATATCCCTTGGTTTCAGCTTCTGTTGTGAGATTGAACCCTGTGTCAGGCTCCGTCAGGAGTCTGCTTGTCCCTCACCGTTTCTCCTGCCCCACACACTCTTTCAAATAAATAAATGAAATCATTTTTAAAAATTCTGTGTAGGGCAGCCCCTGTAGCGCAGCAGTTTGGTGCTGCCTGCAGCCTGGACTCGATCCTGGAGACCCTGATTCGAGTCCCACATCAGGCTCTCTGCATGGTGCATGCTTCTCCCTCTGCCTGTGTCTCTGCCCCTCTCCCTCTTTCTCTCTCTCTTTCTCTGTCTCTATGAATAAATAAAGTCTTTTAAAAAAATGGTTTCTTTAAAAAAAAGCTTCTGTGTATAACTTTTTGATTCCTCAAAACTTTACTGAAAGCCTACTATCGACCAGAAATCTTACCATAACAAATAGTTAACCCGTATTTGTATGTGTATTAGATATTACAATCTTAACTTACTACATCTCTAACTTAAAATAAGTTAGAGAAAAGAATGTTACTAGGAAAATCAGGAGTGCCTAGCTGGCTCAGTAGGTGGAATGTGTGACTCTTGATCTCAGGGGTTGTGAGTTTGAGCCCCACATTGAGTATAGAGGTTACTTCAAAATAAGTCTTTTTTTAAAAAAAGAAAGAAAATCAGGCACCTGGGTGGCCCAGTCACTTAAGCATCTGACTCTTGATATTTACTCAGATCTTGCTCTCAGGGTCATGAATTCAAGCCCCATGTTGGGTTTTACGCAGTCATGGAGCCTATTTAAAAAGGAAAAATCATAAGAGAAGGTACATTTACAGTACTGTTCTGTGTTTATCAAAAAGAATCTGCATTTAGTGTTCTTCCTACAAACAGAAAAATGTGAAATAATGGGAAATACAATTTTTTAAAATGAGAAATACTTAAATCTGCTATTTTAATATGTAAATGATTTTAGGAGGGCCACCTGGGTGTCTCAGCGGTGGAGCGTCATCTGCCTTTGGCTCAGGGCATGATCCCTGGGTTCTGTGATCAAGTCCCACATCGGGCCCCTGCAGGGAGTCTGCTTCTCCCTCTGCCTGTGTCTCAGCCTTCTCTCTGTGTCTCTCATGAATAAATAAATAAAATTTAAAAAAAATAATGGTTTTAGGAAAACTTTATTTCATTAATACAGATATTCTTGTTCTCACAGGAAAAGCTGAATCTCAGTTGTATCCATAGTCCTGTTGTTAATGAACTTATGAGAGGAATCCGTTCCCAGATGGACGGATTAATCCCTGGGGTAGAACCACGTGAAATGGCAGCTATGTGTCTTGGTTTGGCACACAGGTGAGATTTACTGGAAAATAGTCAGTTTATTGCTGTTTAATAAACAGTTGTATTGCACTGTACTTTAAGCATACTACAATTACTAATTTAATTCTTATAATAATCTTATGAGGAAAGTAGTAATATCCTCATTTTCTAATGAATATGATGCCCAAAGTCCATTCACCTGCTAAGTGATAAAGCCTGGATTGAAATCCAGGCAGTCCTCATCATAGGCATTCTCTATTTTTTGTTGAGTCCCACAATTCTTGGGCCTTTTCCCCCCTCTCTGATGTCTGCTGAATCATTTGCTGTCCTTCCATCTTTTCATCTCCCCCAGATTTTTCATCTGCTGTTGTCTCCCTCTGTATCTGTAATGTTTGTTTTACATTGATTTTTACTGACTCATTATTTTTATTTATTTTTTAAAGATTTATTTATTTATTTATTCGTGATAGACATAGAGAAAGAGAGGCAGAGACACAAGAGGAAGAAGCAGGCTCCATGCCAGGAGCCTGACGTGGGACTCGATCCTGGGACTCCAGGATCGTGCCCTGGGCCAAAGGCAGGCATTAAACCACTGAGCCACCCAGGGATCCCCTTTACTGGCTCTTTATAATGCAAAGAGCTCACTCACTTACTATGTTTACCCAAAGAATAGGCATTTCTCTGTACTATAATGTGTTCTGAAAAGCTTGGCATTCTATGAAATTGCTAAAATAACAGGGTTTTTCATTGAGAAAGATTAAAAGTAGACTACTTAAAACCTATGTAACTTTATACTAGAGCACTATCAAAAATAGCCCTTTATATTATTAATACAGTTAAAAAGGATACATTAAGGGACGCCTGGGTGGCTCAGCAGTTGAGCCTCTGCCTTTGGCTCAGGGTGTGATCCCAGAGTTCTGGGACCGAGTCTCCTAGCAGACTCCCTGCATGGAGCTATCCTCCCTCTGCCTGTGTCTCTGACTCTCTCTGCGTCTTTAATCTTTAAGAAAATCTTTAAGAAAAAAAAGGATGGTTAAATTTAGATTAAAGGAATAAACAGAGGTTTGTACTTTTGTACAAAAAATAACATAAATCAGTGAAAGGGTTAAAGCTGCTGAGTTACAAAGATGAGCAAAATGCATGAAAGTCAAGAATAACTTTGTAACGAGCATTTTTAAGAGCACAGGAACTGCTAAACTGAGTTAAGATCCAAGTTTGTGATTGACATTGTATAAGAGTAGTGGTTCCTTAATCATTGACAATTAAATTTTCCTTAGAGGATATTTGGCAACATCTAAAGACATTTTTAATTGATACAAGTGGGGTCATGTCTCTACTAACATAATGGATAGAGGCCAGGAATATTGCTGAATATCCACAATGCACAGAATAGGCCCTATGCCCCTACAACAAAGAATTATCAGGCCTACATTGTTAACAGTGCCAAGATTAAGAAAAAGTTTTGTATAATACTGTTCCTTCATGACTTTCTATTTACCTGCTGATATAAAGCATTGTAAAAATAATATATGAACCAAATGATTTGTACTAAACAGCATTATCCTGTTTGACAAATTCATGTTTCAGACATATAGGACACATATAGGACCTGTGTATTTTCTTTTTAAATGTGTATTTCCTGATTTTTGCATATTCTTGTTCAAATGGTTTCCTATATTGGGAAAATTAACATACAGCTCCTAGGAGAGGGACTTGGGTTTTAAAAAGTATCTTAAGATGTTAATTAGTTTCATAGATGCTATCAATAACTTCTTATTTTCCCCTCTTATATCCAGCTTGTCCCGATATAGATTGAAATTTAGTGCTGATAAAGTGGACACCATGATTGTTCAGGCAATTTGTAAGTATAGTACATGTAAAGTCTGATCTGTCTATTCATCATGACTTTTTCTTGCTGCTAAACTATATCTTTTATGATTTTATCAGTGAGGAAGAAAAGGAGATTCGTGGGTTTTTATTTGTTCGTTTTACGATTTTATTTATTTGAGAGGCATGAATGGGGGGTAGGAGCTGAGGGAGAGGGAGATGCAGACTCCCTACTGAGCAGGGAGCCTGATGTGGGGCTTGATCCCAGGACCTGAGATCATGACCTGAACTGAAGGCAGAAGCTTAACCCACTGAGCCACCCAGGTGCCCCTAGAATTTTCATTGGTGAAGTAAATAAGCTGGAAAATGCAGAATAGAAAAGGGAAGCCACTCCTAATTTGACTAGTTGGAGATAATATAAATTAACATTGGTGATGTTAACAGATTTGTCTTTTTCCATGAAGTAAATCAATAGATAGGATCTATTATGTTGTACTTCTGCTTTTTTTTTTAACTTGGCTTTATAATAGGTCATTCTTCCATATTATTAAGTGAATCAACTCTTAACAGTTTCCAATTTTAAAAATTCCTTTAAATGGCAATTGCATTTCTGGGTATATACTCCAAAGAATTGAAAGCAGGTACACACAATTACATACACATCTGTGTTTGTAGCAGCATTATTTGCAGTAGCCAAAAGATAGAAATAATCCACATACCCACAAACAGATGAATGGATAAACAAAATAGGGTATATACACATAATAATTATTATCTTTAGACCTTAAAAAGGAATGAAATTGGTTTTTTTTTAACATTTTTTTAAAATTTTTATTTATTTATGATAGTCACAGAGAGAGAGAGAGAGGTGCAGAGACATAGGCAGAGGGAGAAGCAGGCTCCATGCACCGGGAGCCCGATGTGGGATTCGATCCCGGGTCTCCAGGATCGCGCCCTGGGCCAAAGGCAGGCTCCAAACCGCTGCGCCACCCAGGGATCCCAAAAAGGAATGAAATTGTGATGCATGTTACAAAATGGATGAATTTTGAAAACATGCTGAGAAATAAGCCACACAAAAAAGACAACTGTTGAGTGATTCTACTTATGAGGTACCTAGAACAGGCAAATTCATAAAGGCCACAAGTAAAAGATATTACCAGGAGATGGGGGGAAGGTGGGGATATGGTGTTATTGTTTAGTACTTACAGACTTTTCCCTTGGGATAATGAAAGAGTTCTGGAAATGGGTAGTGGGTGATTGTTGCACCGAAACCGACAATTGAAAATGGTTAAAATGGTAGATTTTATGTATATTTTATAATTTTTTAAAGCCCTTTTAAGTTTTGTTTTTTTTGTTTTTTTTGTTTTTTTTTGTTTTTGTTTTTCATTTTAATCTACTGCAGCCTTGTTAGATGACTTAGACAAAGAGCTAAACAACTACATTATGCGGTGTAGAGAATGGTATGGCTGGCATTTCCCTGAATTAGGAAAAATTATTTCAGATAACCTGACATACTGCAAGTGTTTACAGAAAGTCGGTGAGTAACTTAATCCTTTATTTTTTAACTTAATCTTTTAAAGCATTGAAAAATAACAATTTTTTTAATCCCACAACATGAGTTATAGGAATTTTGTTTTTCTTTTTTTTTAGTAATTTTTTTTCCTTAAGCTTCTCAGAGTTTCTTACAACTTACATGTATTTTGGGTGTGTAGCTGTATTAGTGTCTGTTAGAAACAGTTAACTTGGACTTTGACTTCAATGGCCTGTACAACAGAGAACATGGTTCTCTGATTTGGTTTTTCTTAAAATGGCTTCTTAAGGTGAAATGTATCCCATAGTAAGTTTACCATTAATACGGGCAACTGGACCTGGAATATGCTACTAAAAATAGTGCTGTCCGTACTGTTAGTGTTGTATCCTGTGCCAGTAGTACAGTAATATTAGCAGAACAACTTAAGCATTGTTAACATATAGGACTTCCCAGGGTTATACTACATTACCGTATTACCACCCCAAGAATTAGTGGCACAGGCTTTAGTAAAATCTTAGCTACAAATTGCCTGTTATAATATCATTAGTCCTATTTTATGTAGTATTTTGTTTTTAATTCTATTTTATATCTTTTTTGGAGGGAGATGGGGAGAGATTTTAATCTCTAAAAATCAGGCCTTACATAAGGGAAATTAGTAAGTCAAACTTGTTAGCTTTTTGTTTTGTTTAGGCATCCTTTTCATTGGCTTCTCTCTACTTTTTCTTTTTTGACTATTTGGATTTTATATAATTTGTTGAAGAGTGATTCTCCCTCATCCTCTGCAAACATTCCATAGGCGATAGGAAGAATTATGCCTCAGCCAAACTTTCTGAATTACTGCCAGAGGAAGTTGAAGCAGAAGTGAAAGCAGCTGCAGAGATCTCCATGGGAACAGAGGTTTCAGAAGAGGATATTTGCAACATTTTGCATCTCTGCACTCAGGTAAACTATACACATGGGGAAATTACTTTTGGTGGGACTGGCTATGTAATAATTTTCTGATGGCAATGATGATTTTTAAGCTTACTCACCTGATAAATATGAGGGTGTTCAGTCACTACCTCATCTGATGCCATCTTGACTTATATATTTCAAGGGGGAAATACATACTGAAGTAGGTTGAAAAATACCATCTAATTTATTTGTATTGTTAGCATTGTCTGGATAATGAATTATAAATTCATTAAGACAAATAAAGATTGAGTTACTTATTTCTAGCCTTTATGTTTATAGCCTCAAGTGCTCTTTTTTCCTCATTTGGAGATAGCTAAACAAGAATCACAAAGAGGAGGGCTGGCTCAGTCCGTAGAGCATGTCACTCTTGACCTTGGAGTTGTAAGTTCTAGCCCACAATTCGTGTAGAGATGCTTAAAAACAAAATATTTTAAAATCATATGCACAAAAAAGAATCACAAAGAGGATGACCAGTGTCTAGCCTCGGAGCTTTAAAAAATAACCGTAATATTGACTAGCATTTTTAGGCAGTGTATTGGGTTGTTTTACATTTATTATCTCATAAAATCCATTAAAACGGGAAACTGAGATAAAGAATGGTTCATTGTTCCGGGATTACATGGCTGACCTATGATAGTTTAGGGCTCCAGTGTGTAAAGACATGTGGTTTTTATATGATTTTTACACAAGTAATTTATGATGTGTTCATTTTGTTTCTTATACTAGGTAATTGAAATTTCAGAATATAGAACTCAGCTCTATGAATATCTACAAAATCGAATGATGGCCATTGCACCGAATGTTACAGTCATGGTTGGGGAATTAGTGGGAGCACGGCTCATTGCTCATGCAGGTGATGATTTTAATGTAACTTATAAACAGGGATATTTAGATTGTTTTCTACTTAGGGTTATTTTTTTCATCTTCAAATTATATTCATTAGAAATTTTAGGTAATAAATAGAAGTAGTTGGTTATAGCTGAGAACTAAGGACCAAGTTAGTGTTCAATGATGATTCTAATGTGTATGCCTGATTTCCTTTTGGATAATGATGGCATCTTTAGTCACTACCTCTTCTGAGACACTTGTGGTCCGTTGTCAGAAGTTTTTTAGCATTAATGAGAATAATCAGATGAATGCAGAATGAAATCAGTTAATGTGTCCACTACTAGAAACTTACCAGAATAGGGGTACCTGGGTGGCTCAGTTGGTTAAGCATCTGATTCTTAATTCTGGCTCAGGTCATGATCTCATGGTTGTAAGATTGAGCCCAGTCACTGGGCTCTGCTCTGGGCATGGAGCCTGCTTAAAATGGTCTTTCCCTCCGCCCTTTCCCCTCGAAAAAAACCCTCACCCTCATCAGATTAAATAGTTCTCACAACAGGTGATACATTCCCTTGTTTGAGAATCTGGTTCACTACTGAATATGCTAATTTTAATATATTTGACATGCAAAATCTTTTTAATGAATTTATAATGAAACTTAAGATGTATATATGGTGATGTTACAAAGAAGGTATGTTACCAAAAATACTGTATAATTGAACATTTGCAAATAGAGTTAAGTACTATTGTTGGAGTCATTGTTACACTCCATCATAGAATATTTTAATGTATCATCTACATCAAAGTGTCTAAACTAGAATAGCACCTACCTATAACTACATCATTATACAGATAGATATGCCATCCAAATACCCTCAGCTGCAAAATTGGGATTATCTGGTTGGTTTTGTTTGCATCCATATTTTCGTAGGCTTAACCAAACTTTTGTGGTAAGAGATGCAGGGATTAACAGAAGTGTGTGTTCAATTTTAAATACATATCTAGTCGTTGAGCATTAATATTGGGGGTCTGTTCTGACAAAATCTGTATAGTAAATCTAATAAAGCAGCAACTTTTTTTATACCTGATCAGTGTACTTACAAGCATATCTCCTCATTCATATTGTAAACAACAGATAAAGTGTGAGAAAGTTATCACATGGTTTTTCTGCTGAGATGTCTGTCCTATGAGTGTCTGTTCACTCTTATGTTTTTTTTCCATATCTAAAGTAGAATACTTGGTGTCTAAAATCCTGCTGGTATGCTAATAGCATGTAGAGTAGTTAATACCGTCTCTCTGTCAAATAAGTATAATTGAACTAATAGGCTTAACCTTCAGTTTAGCATAAGCATTCATTGTAAGCCTCTGCTTATAGTGCTGCATGGTTGAATCACAAATGCTGAGGCTTTCTAGGGAGTCCCAGACTATAGAATCTGTATTGTATCAGATTTTTATTTACTCTGGTGGCTATTATACTTCGACTATATGTCTTGTGTTTAACACATGGAACTTTTTAAATACTTGGAATTGCAATCCTTGTAACTACTTCTTTTCTTTTGAAGGTTCTCTTTTGAATTTGGCCAAACATGCAGCTTCTACAGTTCAAATTCTTGGAGCAGAAAAGGCACTCTTCAGAGCCCTCAAGTCTAGACGAGATACCCCAAAGTATGGTCTCATTTATCATGCTTCACTTGTAGGCCAGACAAGTCCCAAACACAAAGGAAAGGTGAGATGTATTTCTCCTGAGACCGGTCATTTTTTCTTTTTTTTCTCCCCTCCAGATAACTCATTTCCTCCCTACTCTATAGGATGGAGTAAATTTTTCTACTGCTTCTTTTTCATTAGAGAATGATGATTTCTTGAGCTATAAAAGCACTTTTGTGTAATGAAAGAAAATAACATAAAGTGTTATTGGGGGAACCTGGCTGACTCAGTAAGCAGAGCGTGCAACTCTTGATTATGAGGTTGTAAGTTCCCAGCCCCATATTGGGTGTAGAGCTTACTTTAAAAAAAATTTTTTTTTTTTTTAATGATAAAGTATTACTGATTTAAAGCCATTTTCTTTTGCTGTGTTAGGAGTTTTCTAGAATCTATGTGTTGATGAATGGGGAATGAATCGGAAGTTTTCTGGCAGGAAATCAATTTAGCATCATTTATGAATTATAAAATAATAACCATACACTGCTCAACACTTAGTAGGACTTACGTGAATCCTCTTACTTATTTTTAAAGATTTTATTCATGGGGGGGGGGGGCAGAGACACCACCAGAGTGAGAAGCAGGCTCCACGCAGAGACCCGATGGTGGGACTCGATCCCAGGACTCCAGAATCACACCCCGGGGCCAAAGGCAGGCGCCAAACCGCTGAGCCACTGAAGGATCCCCTACATGAATCCTTTTAATAGCCCTGTGAGATACAGGGTATCTTTTACAGATGGGAAAGCTGAGACTTAAGCAATTTCAAGCTTTTTGGTAAGGGCATATAAATTAACAGAAACTGAAATGTTTAAAAAAAAAAAACCTGAAATGTTCTAAAATTCAGAGCAGATTGATGAAAGGGGTTGATGCATTGTTAATTAACCTAAAAGGGGCTATACATTTTCCAGATGATCTCCATGGTGTGGAACTAAGGTCACTGAGTAGAAATTAAAGGAAGACATTAGGATATTTTGAGCTCGTTTTAGACATGAACTACTGCAAGATTATCTCATCCAACAGAACGAATGGGGTTTTGTATATAACCAGTTAGCCATTGAGAGAGATTCAGACATAAAATAGGTGGCTTAAGAGATGCCTGGGTGGCTCAGCGGTTCAGCAGCGTCTGACTTTGGCTTAGGGCATGATCCCCGAGTCCCAGGATCGATCCCCTTGGAGCTTGCTTCTCCCTCTGCATATGTCTCTGCCCCCCACCCCATGAATGAATTAATGAATAAAATCTTAAAAAAAAAAAAGGTGGTTTGAATTGTATTACATTTCTTGATTTTAAAAAATCCTAGAATGAAAGAGTTGATGTAATGCTCCTATTTTCTCATGAATCAGTTATTGATTTTAACATCTCAACTTGGGGTATACTTTAAATGCCTCTAACTTCAAGTTCTCTATTAGATTTCTCGAATGCTGGCTGCCAAAACTGTTTTGGCTATCCGGTACGATGCTTTTGGTGAAGATTCCAGTTCTGCAATGGGAGTTGAGAACAGAGCCAAATTAGAGGCCAGGTTGAGGACCTTGGAAGATAGAGGGGTAAGGACACATCCTGTTTATTGTAGAAGTGTTATCAAAAATTCATAAACTTTAAGTAGTTTATGTACTTACTCATTTCACCTACTAAGCAGTTTTTATTTTATTATACATTTTAGTATGTCTAATATTTTTTGTTCCTGCTATTAAGTTTCCCTTATATTTACCAAAAATTGATATCTTTTCTTAGATAAGGAAAATAAGTGGAACAGGAAAAGCATTAGCAAAAACAGAAAAATACGAACATAAAAGGTGAGTACATTTGGGGGAGGATGGATTAAAAATTTCTGTTTGTGGGCAGCCCAGGTAGCTCAGCGGTTTAGGGCCGCCTTCGGCCCAGGGCATAATCCTGGAGACCCAGGATCAAGTCCCACGTCGGGCTCCCTGCAGGGAGCCTGCTTCTCCCTCTGCCTAACCCTTCCTTAAATGCTTGCTTAAATTCAACGTCTCTAATTTTTTCTTTGCTATTTATAGTTTTCCATATTTCTAATTTTTAATCATATAAATATATTTTTACATTGTAATAAATATACATATAACATATATTTTGGCTTTCCTCTCAGGTAATCTCTCTATAGGTACCTTACAACCCCAAAATCAAGAGTCACATACTCCTTCAGCCAAGCCAGCCAGGCACCCCTTGGCTTTTTCCCCCCTTAATATTTAACTAGTTCATTTTCAGATGTTGAAAGTAAATATTTGTTATTCATAGTTTCGATATAGTATACCATCTATCAACAGAAAATCAATTCATAGTTAATCCACAATGAAACCGGTTTAAAAGACAGAAAAGTCTAAAAATAGCTAAAAGACATAATAATAAAATACTGAGAGCTCACCATGAAATTAACAAAAGATATGTGTTAGGGTCTGGTAGTTTGGTTATTATTTGAGGTAATGTTCAATGCTGGTAATGTGATGGAAGTAGAATGTAATACACCATTTCTGGGAAGCACTTTTACAGTATGTCTCCGGATTCTTTAAATAGTCATTAACCCATAAATTCTCGCTCAGGACCCATAATTCCTTAAGAATTTTAATAGTAAGATTTTAAACTGGGCAAGGAGTAAAATCTTACTTTAAATATTCATATATGTATTTAAATGTACATATTTAGAAAAACTACTTCCTTTATTCTGGAAGGAAATCAAAAGTGTTCCCACTATGGACATTAACTTTATGTTTTAGGAATTTTCCAAGTTTTCAACAATGACTATATAATATATATATATATATATATATATTGTGATTTTTTAAGTCTGACTTGAGGTCTTTAGTTGATAAGTATGGATCTTTGTTTTTTATTATAAATGTTTTTAATGTATAAAAATTAAGCAACCGGGCAGCCCAGGTGGCTCAGAGGTTTAGCACCTGCCTTCAGCCCAGGGCGTAATCCTGGAGACCCAGGATCGAGTCCCACATCAGGCTGCCTGCATGGAGCCTGCTTCTCCCTCTGCCTGTGTCTCTCATGAATAAATAGAATCATTTTAAAAAATAAGTAAATAAATAAATAAGCGACCTTAAATCTACAAATAAATGAAACATTCCTTACCTTGTTTTGAACAGTTTCTTAATATGCCATTATGCTTGTGACTTTACTTTTTTTTTTTTTTTTTAAGATTTTATTTATTTATTCATGGAGAGACACACACACGGAGGCAGAGGCAGAGGGAGAAGCAGGCTCCATGCAGAGAGCCCGACATGGGACTCGATACCAGGACTCTAGGATCACGCCTGGGCCGAAGGTGGCGCTAAACCGCTGAGCCACCCGGGCTGTCCCTGCTTGTTACTTTAAACACATGTTTAAACACAATTATGAGATTACTTCTTGTTATTTTAGGCACTTAGTACGTTGAGTTTTTACTTTTCTGCCACATTAGAACAAAAGCAAGCGTAGCCTTTTAGGGAATCTTTATCCATATGTATCCCCTTGTTCTTCTGCCTTTGGGGATTTTGTGATGAAGTATTCTGTTAACTTGATTTAGGTATTTTGTTTTTTATTGAATTGCCCTATGTTCTGAAACTTGAGTTGCTTCAGTTTTTACTTTCTAGGATAGTCATTTGGTATAAAGAGATTTTTGCCATTTTTCCTCATACTGATTAAATATTTTTCTAGGGCAGCCCGGGTGGCTCAGCGGTTTAGTGCTGCCCTCAGCCCAGGGCCTTATCCTGGAGACCCGGGATTGAGTCCCATGTCAGGCTCCCTGCATGGAGCCTGCTTCTCCCTCTGCCTGTGTTTCTGCCTCTCTCTCTCTCTCTCTCTCTCTCTCTGTCTCTCATGAATAAATAAATAAAATCTTTAAAAAATAAATAAATAAATAAATAAATAAATAAATAAATAAATAAATAAATAAATAAAATATTTTTCTATGCCGTAGTCATCACACTGATTACTGATTTAAATCAGAACTCATTTTAGGGCAGCCCGGTTGGCTCAGCGGTTTAGCGCTGCCCTCAGCCCAGGGCCTGATCCTGGAGACCCGGGATCGAGTCCCACATCGGGCTCCCTGCCTGGAGCCTGCTTCTCCCTCTGCCTGTGTTTCTGCGTGTCTCTCTCTCTCTCTCTGTGTGTGTCTCTCATGGATAAATAAATAAAATCTTAAGAAAAAGAAAAACTCATTTTAGCTCACCACTTCTCTTGAAGTGTGATTGACTTACTTGGAAAATATGGTTGATAACCTCTTTACCTTTTGGAAACTAGTAGTTTTCATAAACTACCCCAAAGCCACTAAATGAGACAGCATTGTATGCTTATGTAAGTATTATTTAATGGCATTTCCTTTAAACTTCTTTAGAATTATTTCAGTTACAAGTATTTGTAGAGATTTTTTATAGTTCTTTGATTCTTTCAGTGAAGTGAAGACTTATGATCCTTCTGGTGACTCCACACTGCCAACCTGTTCTAAAAAACGCAAGATCGAACAGGTGGATAAAGAAGATGAAATTATCGAAAAGAAGGCCAAAAAAGCCAAGATTAAAATTAAAGGTCAGTTTGAAGTTTTATTTATTTTTTATTTTTTTTAAGATTTTATTTATTTAATTCATGAGAGACACACAGAGAGAGACAGAGACACAGGCAGAGGGAGAAGCAGGTGCCATGCAGGGAGCCTGACGTGGGACTCGATCCTGAGACTCCAGGATTACACCCTGGGCGGAAGGCAGGCGCTAAACCCCTGAGCCACCGGGGCTGCCCTTGAAGTTTTAAAATGTTGTTTATATTCTTATTCTTTAAGAAAGACAGACTTCATAAGTCTTGGGGAAATACATGCCATTAAACTTTATTGTGAAGCTACCCATATTGAAAGTTAATGGTGTGGGACACCTGGGTGGCTCAGTGGTTAAGCATCTGCCTTTGGCTCAGGGCGTGATCCCGGGATCTGGGACTGAGTCCTGCATTAGACTCCCTGTGGGCAGACAGCTTCTCCCTCTACCTGTGTCTCTGCCTCACTCTCCGTGTCTCTCATGAATAAATAAATAAAAGGTAATGGTGTGTGTTTGTTTTTAAAGGTTTTATTTCAGAGAATGAGTGAGAGAGCATAAATGGGGAGTGGGAGAGGGAAAAGTAGACTCCTCCCGCTGAGCCAGGAGCCCATCCTGGGGCTTGATCCCAGGACTCTGAGATCATGACCTGAGCTGAAGGCAGATGTTTAACTGACAGAACCACCCAAGCATCTCAGAGAAGCATTTCTTTGAATATATGGAATCACATATTAAGCTGAGCGTACCAAATTTTAGTTCCTACCATAGGAATTATTTTGAGAATCAGCTTAAGATACAAGAAAAAAAGTTCATGCTTTCTAAATTAGTCGTTTCTATTGTATAGAATAGACTAGAGTAATAACATTGAGTACCCTATCATTATAGTAATATTTAATAGGTGCTCTCTGATGGACTGGGCTATCTTGGAAAGTTGGAAAGCAAGTAACCCCATTTGCCAGTAGTACCTGTATTGAATGCCTACCGGCTAGTATAGCAGGAAAAGCAGGCATTAAAGTAATATTTGGTTTGTTTAAAAAAATTTTTGTTTGTTTCTAAATAGCTTTGTGGTCAAAAGTATACTATCAGCAAATGTGGATTCCTGACCTGGCTGAAAGAAAGATAAACAAGGGATCCCTGGGTGGCGCAGCGGTTTGGCGCCTGCCCTTGGCCCAGGGCGCGATCCTGGAGACCTGGGATCGAATCCCACGTCGGGCTTCCGGTGCATGGAGCCTGCTTCTCCCTCTGCCTGTGTCTCTGCCTCTCTCTCTCTGTGACTATCATAAATAAATAAAAAATTTAAAAAAAAAAGATAAACAAGTTATTTAAGTCCTCTGTTTCTATTTACTTATTGAATAGTAAGGTGATCCCTAAGCCAATTAATAGCATTTGAAACAACCAACTCCAGATTCGTATCTCCACTTGTATATACAGTGAGCTTTTCAAACTAATATTCCTCTGTTTTTGTCACTCTCAGTCTGTTTGTTCCTCCACAAATTTTTCTGTCTTATAAATGGCAGTTCTGGTTGCTGTGGCATTTAACTTTTTCTTACAACCCAAACGTATTCTGGCAACAAGTGATCTTTAAAAAAAAAAAAAAAGATTTTATTTTTAAGAAATCTCTAGTCAATGTGGGGCTCCAACTTAAAATTCCAAGATCAAGAGTCATATGCTCGTACCAACTTAGCCAGCCAGTTCTATTCTAGCAACAAATTCAATTCAATTCTACATTGAAAATATTTCCAGAATGTAACTATTCTTCTTACCCACCACTGCTTTTTTTTAATGTAGCAGTCACAGTGCTACCTCCCTTTAACACTGATCTACTTTTACTCCTTGCTCACTCTCCGCCAGCCATACTGGCCTCATTATTTCTTGTTACTCTCCAACTCTGCTTCTCTCCCGGAATAGCCTTAGCATTTACTCTTCTCTCTGGCTGGAATGTTTTTCCTCAGGATAGGTGCGTCATTCACTCCTTTGCCTCTTCCAGGTGTTGTCAGACTATCCTCTCTGAAGTAGCCATATGCATTACTGTTCTTAGTGTTCCTCTTCCTGCTTTGTTTTTATTCTTAGCACTGATTACTGTGTAAGATATTGTGTAGTTTTATCGTTTTTCCCCCTCTACTAATAAAAAAGATAAATAAGGACAGGAATTTCTTTTTATGTCCTGTTGTATCCAGTTGGCTAGGGTATGGCCTGGCACTTATTTAGTAAGTGCTAAATAAATTTTTGGTGAATGAGTTTCTAATGAGATGCACCTATTACTGAGTCTTCTTCTTCTTCTTTTTTTTTTTAAAGATTTTACTTACGGGCAGCCCAGGTGGCTCAGTGGTTTAGCACCGCCTTCGGCCTAGGGCCTGATCCTGGAGATCCGGGATCAAGTCCCACATCGGGCTCCCTGCATGGAGCCTGCTTCTCTCTCTCTCTCTCTCTCCTCTCTGTGTATTCTCATGAATAAATAAAATATTTTTTTAAATCTTTATTTTTTAAAAGATTTTATTCATTTATTTATGAGAGACAGAGAGAGAGAGGCAGACACAGGCAGAGGGAGAAGCAGGCTCCCTATTGGATAACCAGAATTATGGGAAAAAACTGATATGTAAGAGGTCAGGAAAGTGAGGTCTGACACAGTGTTAATTGTTGTGTCTGTATACTTAACCCCATTTAGTTGAAGAAGCCCCAGCAGCAACAGAAGAAGAAGAAGAGGAAGAAGAAGGAGAAGGAGTACTAGTGGTGGAAGAACCGGAGACGTCTGTGAAGAAGAAGAAAAAGAAGGACAAAAAGAAACACATTAAGGAAGAACCACTTTCTGAGGAAGAACCTTGTACCAGCACAGCAATTGCGGTATGTTTTTGTTTTGTTGGCATGGGTGGGGTCTCTGTATTGTTTTATACTCTATGTATTAGAAATGAGCGGGCAGTTAAGATGGTTTTCATTGATGGAACAGTAAAAATAAAAATATTAAAAAAATAAAAAAATAAAAATATTATTAAAAAGGCCATTCCCAAACCTAGAATCTTACTATAAACTGGGTTTACTTTGAGGAAGAGAGAGAATATTTGCTACAGATTTTCATAGAGGTGATACTTACAGTTTTAGGTTTTAATCTTTAACCCAAATTTATTTTCAAAGGATATAGATCGACTTTGCTTTTTATAGGAAAAGTTATTTTTACTAACCCATACATTTACAGCTCTTTAAAAAGCATTCTGGTTTGTTATTTTCAGAGTCCAGAGAAAAAGAAGAAAAAGAAAAAAAAGAGAGATACTGAGGACTAATTGAAGGGAACCATCTTGGAATGAATCATCTGAATACATCACACTTAGGATTCAGTCAGAATGTATCAGAGATGTCCCCTAATTTGAGGGAAAGTTGGATGAAACAGTTATTAATCATTTATACCTTTTCAGACCTATTCGTGTCTTGACATCAATTCTGTTAAACTTGATTGTGTCATCATTTCTTAGAGTCTTTGTTACACAAATAAAAATATTTTCTTTGTATTTTAAGGCAGTTCTGTGATCTCTATACTTTAGGTAGACAATCCATGGCCCTTTCTATGTTTTATTATTTGATAATTATTGCTTTAATAATTCTAGCTGAAAAGTGAGAGTTGTGAATTATTAATTTGAAACTTAGCCTTTCTGAAGGCTGTGATTAGATGGACCAATTTAAGAACCTTACTAATGTTTCTTTTTCCTTTCTAGACTGTCCCTTTTTTTCTCCTTTTCTCCTATTTTTCTGCTTCTGTATTTATTTAAATAAAGCTGTGTTTTGTGTTCAAAACTTTTAAATTAGGTGAACAAAACTTTTGTCCCTAACTTTATTTTACTTCACAGTTCTGAATAGAGCAACAAAATAGTAACATAGATGCAGCCTTTTTTTTCTGAACTAACATTTTTAAAAGGATAACAAAATGATTTTCTAGTAAAGAATGGGGAAATAACAGGAAAACAAGATGACAAAAAATAAAATGTCCATGGGTATAACCAGGACATAGAACACCAAAGAAAAATCTGTTGCTAAAATACAGTATTTAGTGTGTGAAAAACAGCCTGATTGACAGCCGTATGTGTACATATAATCATGACAACCACAGGTTTCATGGTATCGTTAGGACTTGAATCTCTGTATGCCTTGGGCATGATGCTAAAGCCCAGCTCAATAAATGCATTCAGCAAACAAGTGGAGGAGCTAAAATGATTATAGCTTTGGGGTGCCTGGGTGGCTCAGGCAGTTAAGCCTCTGATTTCAGCTCAGGTCATGATACTGGCATTCTGGGATTGAGCTCTGTCCAGCTACCCATTTAGGGGAGTGTGCCTCACCCTCTGTCCCTACCCCCTCTGTTCACGTGCATGTGTTCGCTCTCTAATGAATAAAATCTTTAATAAGATAAAATGATTATAGCTTTGAGTTTCCTCTGCTTTTCAGATAACTAACAGCAAGTCCACAGCCCCTCTTGTTCCTCACTTGTGAATTAGAGATGATAGTCAACGTTACTTCTCCACTAACAGTGGTTTGTAGAAAAAAGATGACACAAATTTTCAGAGGTGTAAGTACATTTCAAATTTAGATATTTGAAGTAAATGCTACATGAAGTACATTAGCCGTCCCTAGACACAGTTCTATAATAAAGCTGGTTATCTTGCTCCCAGAAGAACATTATCATTTTATATTATTCACTAGTACCTTAGACATATTCTTTACTTGGGATTTTTAACAGCTTTTGATGAAAGTTGCCCATAGGTCTGTGCCAAGGGCTATATTATAGTCCAAAGTTTTCTGTTTGAAGTAAGATAGACTTTGAAATGCTAATTAAAGTTTAATTAACATATATTGTGTTACTAGTTTCAGAGGTAGAATTCAGAGTTGCATCCAACACCCAGTGCTCTTTGCTTCAAGTGCCCTCCTAAATGCTCACCCCAGTTTCCCCATCTCCCTGAGTTGTCAGTTCTCTTAAGTGTTAAACTCTTAACTTTAAAACACTAAATAGAAGGTAGATTCTGGTTCCTCTTTGTGCTAAAATGAAGTACTTATTCCTTTGAAGAGCCTTAGGATCTTAGTCTGAAATGGGAAGTGCAGGTGAATTTTATAAAAGCTCATTCTGATTAGCAAACTTGAAAAATTTCTGCGAGTAGGCCACATAAAATACTTAAAACGTACTGATTATCTGGGTGCCTGGCTAGCTCGGTAGAGCATGAGGCTCGAGGTGTTGTGAGGTCAAGTACCACGTTGGGTGTAGAAATTACTTAAAAAATTAAAACTTGGAGATCCCTGGGTGGCTCAACTGTTGGGTGCCTGCCTTCAGCTCAGGGCGTGATCCTGGAGTCCCAGGATTGAGTCCCACGCCAGGCTCCTTGCGTGGAGCCTGCTTCTCCCTCTACTTCTCTCTCTCTCTTTCTCTCTCTATGAATAAATTCTTCAAAAAAATTAAAACTTACTGGTTCTCAAAAAACCGTGATTCTCCACTGTACTCCACATCCTTCCCTTCAAAAATGTAAATTTATACTTTTTTACCACTTCTGTATCAGGGAACCTGGGTGGCTGAACCCATCAAGCATCCCAATTTTTTTGTGTTTTTTAAAAAGATTTATTAATTTAGGAGCACCCGGATGGCGCAGTTGGTTAAACATCAGTTGGTTTCAGCTCAGGTCCTGATCTCAAGAGTCTTGAGTTCAAGCCCTGTGTTGGGCTCCAAACTGGGGCATGGAGCCTACTTTTAAAAATAAGTAAATAAAAATAAACTACTATATCTCTACTACGTTGTGGAAACCTCAGTGTGCTTATCATGGCCTGGGATGAGCTATATTCTCTCTAGAACTCCCAACTTCAATCACTTTTCTGCAGTTCTCTTCATTGCTTTGTTGCTTTAAGGCCATCATTTTTTTTTTTTTTTAGTAAGTGCAGGAGGACGGGCAGAGGGAGAGGACCCTGAAGCAGATTTCTGCGGAGGGCAGAACCTTACCCCAGGACCCTGAGATCATGACCTGAACTGAAACCAAAAGTTGGCCATCCAACCAACTGGTTACTCAGGTGCCTCCAAGGGCATCTTAAAACTTGTTTCAGGCCCATCCCACCTGTACCTCTTAGAATAATGGGCAGTAGAGCCAAGTAACTAAAATTTTAACATGCATAAGAGTCACCTGGCAATCCTGATAAACTGCGAATGAGTCAGTAGATCTAGGATAGAGTCTAAGATTCTTTTCTTTCTTTTTTAATAAGATTTTTTTTTTTTAATTTATCCATGAGAGAGGCAGAGACCAAGAGGGAGAAGCAGGCTCCTGGCAGGGAGCCCGATGGGGGACTTGATCCCCAGACCTGGGGTCATGCCCTGATCCAAAGGCAGGCACTTAACCACTGAGCCACCCAGGTGTCCCAATATTTCATTTTTAGGAAGCTCTTAGATGATTCTTGGTTGAGGTTACTCTTAGGGTATATAGTAGGTGGTAAAGAACTCAGGCAAATTACTTAAATTCTCAAACTTTTAGATAAAACTGGGTTGCTCTGACAAGTGAGAAAATGTTTAAAGGGTTTTTTTTTTTTTTAAGCCATTCTTGAATATTTTTCCATTTCCCAGTCCTAAGAGCTTCCCTGTGTGTTCTTACCTGTCAGAGTTCCTGCAATAGAGTAGGGCCTTCATGTTTGTTTAGTGATGAGTGAATGACCTATCGATGAATTAACTAGGTTTTATGTTAAATTCAGGGGAAAGTAAACTTAAGACCACTGGGGCACCTGGCTGGCTCAGACATTGGAGCTATGTGACTCTTGGTGTTGGGGTTGTGAAGTTGAGCCTTAACAATTCTGATTTATGTTTTCCTCATCATGAGTTTTTTAATTTTTTAAATTTCTTTTTAGTTTTTAATTCCAGCTAGCATACGGTGTTATATTAGTTTCAGGTGTACAACATAGTAATTCAGTAATTCCACACACTACCCAGTCAGTCCTCATCACCTATTTAATCCATACCCCAACCCACCTTCCCTCTTTTAGCCCTCAATTCTCTATAATTAAGAATCTGAGGGCAGCCCCGGTGGCTCAGCGGTTGTGCGCCTGCTTTCGGCCCAGGGGGTGATCCTGGGGTCCCGGGATCGAGTCCTGCATCAGGCTCCCTGCATGGAGCCTGCTTCTTCTTCTGCCTGTGTCTCTGCCTCTCTCTCCCTCTCTGTGTCTCTCTCGAGTAAATAAAATCTTAAAAAAAAAAAAAAAAAAATCTGAGGATGCATGGAAGCTCAGTTCAGGATCCCAGGATCCTGAGATCCAGCCCCGCATTGATTTCCCTGCTCAGCTGGGAGTCTGCTTCTCCCTCCCCTCTCTGCTGCTCCCCCTGCTTGAGTGTGCTCTTGCTTGCTCGCTCTCAAACCTTTTAAAAAAGAATCTGTTCCTTGATTTCTCTTGTTTTCCCCGTTACTTATTTTGCTTTTTAAAATTCCACATATGAATGAAATTATACAGTATTTGTCTTTCTTTGACTTATTTCACTTAGCATTTTACTCTAGTTCCATCCATGTTGCATTTGGTAAGATTACATTTTTGTAAAGATTTTATTTAAGAGCGAGAGCTCTATAGTTTTTATGGTATTTTCTCTATTAAGGCTCAGATAAGCTGCTCCCTAGGTCAAGTACTCATGAATGCCACAGTCCCCAGCTGAGAGGGTGGGCAGGCAGGTGAGTGGAGAGCAGAGGCCTTCCACATCCCCCAAAAGTGGGGCGGGCGGGGGCGGGGGGGTAGGATAATGGAGCCCTGTGCTCATCTAGTCAACTGCTGAGGAGTGAGGGTGACCCAAAAAACCCCAGGCCCGGGATGCTGAGGATGCCTGCCCAAGTAGGTCCCAGGAAAGCGAGGGGACAGGTGCTCGTGGGCCAGGCTGGCAGGTCTGGGAACTGGCCCCAGGAGTGCTTATGGTGGGGAGGGTCTGGACAGGGAGGAGGGGCACAGGCCCTGTGGACAGCAGGCAAAATTCTGGGTGGCGCCAGCACCCCCCTCCCCAGCTCGGGGCCCCACCGGTGCTTGTTCCATTCTATTTTATGCCTGAATAATATTCCATTATGTGTATATACCACATTTTCACCCATTCATCAATCAATGAGACACTTAGTTGCTTCTGGAACTTGGCTATTGTAAATAATGCTGCTGTGAACATGGGTGTGCATGTATCCCTTTGGATTAGTGTTTTTGTATTCTTTGGGTAAATACCCAGTAGTGCAACTACTGGATCATAGGATAGTTGTATTTTTAACTTTTTGAAAAAATTTCATAGAGTTTGACATTGGCTGCACCAGTTTGCATTCCCACCAACAGTGCAAGAGTTCCTTTTTCTCCACATCCTCACCAGCATTTGTTTCTTGTGGTTTTGGTTTTAGTCATTCTGACCTGTGTGAGGTGATATCTCATTGTAGTTTTTTTTTTTTTTTACCTCTATAGAATTTTAAATCCCTTTCTGTCTTTTCCAACTTGATTTACTTTCAACAATTAAAAGAAGATTCATCGGGGATCCCTGGGTGACGCAGCG